GGAGCATCTGACACAAGGGATTTGTTGCCCTGGTGCCCGGAAGTGAAAGGCCACTTGGAAATATAAAGGGTCCTGTCATAGCTTCTTCGTTCCCCTTGTTTACAGCTCTTGATTTCTTCTTTTTTTCCTTCATCTCTGGAAAATACTTCTCATTTTCTAAATCCTTGTGCTTTAAAGACCAAATTTGCCAGAGGAGGGTCAAAGGAGACACAGGGTTAAATACAGAAGTGATTCTGTTCGCTTCCAGCCACAGAAGCCGGCACTGTCCCCAGACCTTGTCTGTCATCTTGCCTCCGTATGAGAGCAGAGGTTTGGCATTCCAGGCATCATTTCCTTTTAGATTTTGCCAACAGCAAAGGGCAAAGGGCTCTTTCTCAATTGATGTTTGCCTGCCTGGGGCCAGAAGAGCATTCTGAACGCAGAAAGGAAAAGCAGCACCGGCCCAGCGGCATATGTTTTGGTCAAAACCGATCTTCGGTGCAAAAGTTATCTTGAGGCTGTAATCCTCATATTACACCCTTTTGATGGTTGTCTGTTTACAGCATATTTCAACACTCTAGCCAGAGAAGTCTTCTGTCTCTTGGTATGCTTGGCCAATTATTTGCCCAGGTAAAATTCATTATCTGATTCATTTTTTGTAAAAGATCCAACATGAATTCTTTTTTGTAACCATGAATGGATGTTGGATTTTGTCTAATGCTTTTTCTGTACTTATTGATCTGATCATATGATTTTTCTTCTTTAGCCTGTTCGTATGTTGCATTATGTTGAGATTTTTTATTAAGGTATTATTGATATACACTCTTATGAAGGGTTCACGTTAATTGAGTTTTTATTTACTTTTTATTTTTTATTAAGGTATGATTGATATACACGCTTATGAAGGTTTCACATGAAGAAACAATGTGGTTACTACATTTACCCATACTATCAAGTCCCTACCCATACCCCAATGCAGTCACTGTCCATCAGTGCAGCAAATTGCCACAGATCCACTGTGTGCCTTCTCTGGGCTACACTGTTCTCCCCGAGATCCCCCCACACCATGTGCACTAAACATAATATCCCTCAATCCCCTTCTCCCTCCCTCCCCACCTGCCCTCCAACATCCGTCCCCTTTGGTAACCACTAGTTCATTCTTGGAGTCTGTGAGTCTGCTGCAATTTTGTTCCTTCAGTTTTGCTTCATTGTTATACTCCACAAATGAGGGAAATCATTTGCATTTGTCTTTCTCTGCCTGGCTTATTTCACTGAGCGTAATATCCTCCAGCTCCATCCATGTTGTTGCAAATGGTAGGATTTGTTTCTTTCTTATGGCTGAATAGTATTCCATTGTGTATATGTACCACATCTTCATTATCCATTCATCTACAGATGGACACTTAGGTTGCTTCCATATTTTGGCTATTGTAAAAAGTGCTGCAGTAAACATAGGGATGCATATGTCTTTTTGAATCTGAGAAGTTGTATTCTTTGTGTATATTCCAAGGAATGGGATTCTGGGGTCAAATGGTATTTCTATTTTTAGTTTTTTGAGGAACCTCCATATTGCTTTCCACCATGGTTGAACTAGCTTACATTCCCACCAGCAGTGTAGGAGGGTTCCCCTTTCTCCACAACCTCGCCAAAATTTGTTGTTGTTTGTCTTTTGGATGGTGGCGATCTTTACTGGTGTGAGGTGATATCTCATTGTGGTTTTAATTTGCATTTCCCTGATAATTAGTGATGTGGAGCATCTTTTCATGTGCCTGTTGGCCATCTAAATTTCTTTGGAGAAGTGTCTGTTCAGATCCTCCACCCATTTTTTAATAGGGTTATTTGCTTTTTGGGTGTTGAGGCGTGTGAGTTCTTTATATATTTTGGATGTTAGTGCCTTGTCAGATATGTCATTTACAAATATATTGTCCCATACTGTAGGATGCCTTTTTGTTCTGCTGCTGGTGTCCTTTGCTGTACAGAAGCTTTTTAGCATGATGTAGTCCCATTTGTTCATTTTTGCTTTTGTTTCCCTTGCCCGAGGAAATGCAGTCAGGAAAAAATTGCTCATGTTTATATTCAAGAGATTTTTGCCTGTTTTCTTCTAAGTGTTTTATGGTTTCATGACTCACATTCAGGTCTTTGATCCATTTTGAGTTTGCTTTTGTGTATAGGGTCAGACAATAATCCAGTTTCATTCTCTTGCTTGTAGTTGTCCATGGGGGTGAACTCTGGACGCTTTTACCCAAGTGTCTCTGTTCCTGCCAAGGTCCTCTCAGGGAGAATGCCCTGCTAAGAAAAATGAAAGAGGGTGTTTCCCTCCAGTCTGAGAAAATTCTGGTTGCCTCGCTCGTGCCCTCCCTGAAGCGGCTGGTGCCCAGACAGCCGGAGCCTCTCCCAGCTCTGAAAGACGCCCTTCCCCCGCTCCTTTCGGTCTCCTTGCCCGTTTCCGGGCTCCCCGCTTCCCACTGGGCCACCCCACTGCCCGCAGCGCCCCACGGCACTGCTCCCAGCTGGGGGCTCTGCTCCTCCCCAACGAGGGCTGGCCCCCGTCTGCCTGTGGCTCATTGGGGCGCTCCCAGATGCGGCTCCCTGTCGGCAGCCGCCCCCCTCTGATACTGCTGAGCCACTTACCTGGGCCTGGTCAGGTGCAAGGGCGCTCCCACTCCGTGTCAGCGGCCTCACGGAGGCAGCTTGCCTGCCATCAGCCAGGGTGGGGGTGCTTACATCACAGAAATATGCAGACACCACAAATCAGCGCTTCCTCTCTGGAGAGCTAGCTGTCGGTTTTATCAGTATACCCCTGACATTGAGAAGAAGGAAAAGAACGGATCCAGAAGTGATAGGCAGGGCTTCACTTCTCTCCGAGGTCGTCCGGGTTCCCATCACCCGAGGCAGGAGGCCGGTGCAAGGAAGGTTTCACGTTTCTCCTCCCGCCCCTGTGGTCAGGGTAATTGGGAGAGGCCAGCTCATTTCAGGGAGAGTGGATTCCACCCTTGCAGGGCACTCCGCACGCTGCAGGGGTTTCCCCTCTTGCACAAAAGCTGAGCTCTTCACCAGACAGGTATTTATTTGTGTGCCTGCCTCTCAGTGCCAGGGATCCCACTCCTGTTATTCTCAACCCACGTCTTCTCTGCCCACATTCCCGAGGTTCAAGTGCCAGGAGACGCTGCCCTCCTTCCAGGCATTTGGACACACCTTCTCCAGGCCCCGTCTAGAAGCAGGAGGCCAGGCACATCAGATATGCTGTCACATTGACATCCCTGGCTTCCATTGGACAGTCTGAATAGTTAAAAGACAGAAAGAAAGAAGCTGTACTCAGTTTGGTTTTCCTGGGTTTAAGTTGTTAGGGTTTTGATGCATTTGAGGTTGTTATACATTAATGCCATCCATCTGTCATTTGGTGGGTGTAGTTTTCACAAATGCACGCTCTGGAGCTCAAACTTCTGCTCCACGTTAAGGGTTGCATTGTGTCTCTCCCCCTGCAAAAAAAAAATTCAAAGATTGAAGCCCTAATCCTCACTGCCTCAAAGTGTGACCTTATGTGGAAATACCGTGGCTTCGGATATAGCGGGCTGGAGTAAGGTGGCCGCCATCCAACATGACTAGTGTCCTGATGAAAGGGGAAATCTGGACACAGGCACACACAGAGGAGAACATTGTGTGACTGTGAATAGCCATCTACGAACTGCGAGAGTGGCCTGAATAGGTTCTTTCCTCCCAGCTCGCAGAAGGAACCAGTCCCACCGACACCTTGACCTCAGACTTCAGCCTCCAGAGCTGTGGGACAATACATTTCTGTTGTTTCAGCCCCCAGTCTGTGATATTTTGCTATAGAAGTGCTGCTAACGAATACACTCCCCCATAAATGTACTTTTCTTTTGTGCTCCACCACGGTTCCTGGACAAGGAAAGCTGACATGGTTCACTCAAGCCTCTGAACTTTTCCTTTGAAAATAACTAAACATTATGTCAAGTGCAGTACATTGCAGTACTGCAATGCCGTCCAAAATTAGAACTAGTCTCAACATCATAGAAATATGTAAAAAGTTATTTAATAAAAATTAAAGAACTTTTAAGACACATTAAACTCTATGTTACATTGCTCCAAAGTTTCATTTTACATTTGTCAACACGTCTTTTCACATACTTAATATCATTGGCCATGCTTTCTTGTGTTGTTTTTCATTTTACATTATTTGATGGAAATATTTCTATCAAATATTTGCTATATATGACATATATAATATTAAATATATAGCAGATAGATATATTTGATAGATACATATGTCCAATATTTGAATATTATCACATAGTGATAATATTCATATTCTTATCTAAAAGGCTACATATAATTTTTGTGCCTTTCACATATTAATCGTTTGTTATTTTTGAATTTTTCACACTGAATATGTTTGCATCATTTACTTTTTGTCCTCTCTTGTACTATTTCCTTGAGGTATATACTCAGAAAAGAAAGCCCTGGATTACACAGCTCTGAAATTCCTGTTACATATTACTCCATTATTCACAGTTTGAGCCAATTTGTGATTTCACCAGAAATGAAAACGCAGCTTGCAGATTTCTCTGTAATCTTAACGTCATTTAGCCTTATGATTTGAAAATGATTCTCCCTAGTTTAAAAAGCTTTCTCTAGGCTTAACGTTGCTTCAGTTTTTCCTTATGTCACTACACTAGGAAGGTGGCCGCAGACACTTTTAAAGCATGTGGTTTTTGTATTCTCCGAGACGGGAGCCGTGCCTGGCGCACCAGCAGGCTGGCCTTCTCGCTCCGCCACTCGGGCAGATCCGCTCTTCGCGGCCGCGCCCACCAGGGGTCAGTGTCGGCTTGGCGGTGGCCCCCGGCTCCCACAATGCGTCGGGCTCAGTCGTGCGCGCGCCCGGAGGTGACCGGGCTGCGGCGGCGCCCGAGGGTTTGCGGGCGCCGGCGGGGCTGCCGGGGGCGGGGCCCCGGAGAGGTGGGGCGGGGCAGGGCGTCGCTGGGGCGGGGCCGGGCCGGGGCGGGGCCGCTGTGGCCGGCGCGGGACCCCTTCTACCTGCAGTCGCCGGGCTTGCCCCGCGCTGTGCGCAGCCTCGGAGCCCTCGCCCGCGGCGCTGTAGCAAGGTAGGGGGGCTCTTAGGACCACCCCTTTTGGGGGCGGGGGTCGAAGTCCTCTCTTAGTTTTGCGGACTGGAGCTGCTTAGGTTTAGAGATGAAGCAGCCCGGTTTGCTCGGCGGGAGTAATTTTAAAACTCTTGTCGGTGCCCCCAGACTTTGCTGGGCTCAGGGAAGCCTGCTTTGGGAGTTCCCGCCGGGGTCATTCCACGCTCCCGGCTCACCCCATCTGCCTTGTGCGTGGATGTCGACCCCGGGGGGTTACAGTGCGTGGGATCTTGGGTGGGTGTCATTCCGTCAGATGCGTGCGTGTGCGAGAACTCGGAAAACTGCATGTCGGTGGGTGTCCGGAGCCCCCGCTGTTTCGGGTACTGAGTGAGGCGTCTGTCGCGCGCCCGCCTGCTCACCCTCCCGGGAGGTGGCTGTCCTCTGACCCAAGCCTCTGATAGTCCCGAACACGCTCTCCAGGACACCGCTTCCCGCACAGTTCCTGCTGCCACGGCCCAGAGCCCCCCGAAGCACAGCCGACCCCGTCTAGAGATCCCACAGTTTGAGGTTTTTTTAAAAAAAGTTTGTCAGATAGAAAGCCCTGGAATATGGGGCACCTGGAATAGCTTAAGCTTGTTGGCGTCTGTCCGCCTCAGCCTGTTTCTGGGTCACCCCCCACTGCTCCTTCCATTCAGCCTCGCTTCCTGTGACCCTGGGGCTCCCCTTGGTGACAAAGACGCCCGAAATAACCCCAGCCTGGGAGCTCTAGGCTGCAATTCTACGGTGTCTCCACCTTTGCCCACTTAAGAGTCTCGGAAGCATTTTGGTCCTCTGATCCCTATCCCCAGTGTAAAATTTACGTTTTTAAAGGAATAGTTTTTTTAAACCCTTACCCTATATTATATCCATTCCAGTATCAATTGATTGATTCTACTTGCGGCATCCAAGCAATTTCATTTGTTGTTTAGTAATAAAGGTTATAACTAGGAAGGCCAAAAGATACTCTTGAGGTGAACATGATCCTAATTAACCAATCAGATGACAATAAAAGGAGGAAGATGGGAAATCAGGCAACCTGGGTTGTAAAATATTTCTGCCTCTGAGAAGAGAAGGTTGGGCCACTAAGTTATCTTCATTTTTCATGGAAAGACACACTTGTATAAAGAAAACTTAACCACAAATTCATGGACTCACTAAAAATATGCAGATCAAATGTTTCCCACATCAACTATATATATATACACACTTTAGGTTAATTTAAACAGTTGGCCCATTGCTTTTACAACCTTCCAATACCCTTATTACTTCAAAAACATCACAGCTGGCACAGTTGTTGTTTCTAAAGCAGATAAATTTACCTGTAGCCACGGACTGGAGTTTCCAGGAGTGAGCACGAACTAGCAACTCATACCCAACTCAGTTCCTGAGCAGTGCGAATCAAACACCTACAAAGTGCCAGACTGGACTTTAAAAGCCCACTCCTAGTGAAAAACAGCTCCAAGAATGATCTCTCATCGGGGGCCGCATTGCCAGGACCACGCAAGTAGGGGCCAGGATATTTCTCAGACGCTGAGGAAGCGAAAGTCTCTCTCAGAAGAACCGTGGAGACCCGAGGAGCTCAATTTAACAGCACACCATTTGTTTTGGAGGGAGAAAGGGATAAAGGATCTCAAAAGTTTCCCGTTGGCTTCCATCCCAGTGGTGCCAATTAAAAAATAAATAAACTCTTCATTATATAAGAATACAAATTATTCTAATAATAGTTATATAATATGAGACTATAGAAGTGGTTATTCTGATTAAGTCGAAAGTTTATCATGTGCGAAGGATCCCAACTTTCTAATAAAAGCATCACCCCGTTTGTTCATATTCATGTATCCATTCAGCAAGCCTTCTAGCACTGTACTAAGCCAGGAAATGCAAAGAAGGATAATTTAACCCCTGACTTTAAGAGGCAGATCTTGTTGGGGAAATAAACCCACAGATAATGATAATAGAGTGTGTGCTTGGCATGCAATAGGTATCTGCTCCTGGTGCTGTGGGCTCCTATTCTAGTCTGGTGAGTCAGGAAAGGCCTTCTGGAAAAGTCAGTGCCTGAAATTACTATTAAAGGATGACTAACTTTTGGCCAAAGTGGGGGAAGAGTGCTCCAGGTAGAGGGAACAAACATTAACAAAATCACGGAGGTAAAGGAGCAAGAGGTGAGGTCCGAAAAATAAGAGAGAAAACTGAAGAGAGAGGGAGGGAGGGGTCAGCTCACAGAAGGCCTCGTGAGGGTTGGGTGGGCCACTGAAAACTCGAGCGGGAAAACGACAGGATCCTATCTGCTTTAGGCAGCTCGCTCTGAAGCTGAATCAAGGGTAGACTTAAGAGACCAGGAGGCAGGAAGAATGGGTAGGAGGCTGTAGCAGTGATCAGCAGAAGTGTTGAGGGCATAGCATTTGTAGAATGCGATCCCATTCTCAGCTTTCTCATGTGCTATTTCGCTTGGTTTTCTCAACCAGCCTTTGCAGTCAGTCGGGTAAGATTCTTATCTTCGTTTTATAAGTTCTTACCTCAGTGCTTTGTGTACATCATCCCTGCCCCTCATAAAAACCCTGCAAATTGAGTGTTATTAGCCTGCTTTACAGAAGTTGTTACTGAGGCAGGGACAGGATCAGCTCCAGGCCCGGGGTCTAGGGCAGGCTCATTCTCAATAGCAAGTGGGCTCTGCTTTCCTAGAGGATGAGACAAGACAACCTTTCTAGGCAAATCTACACCCTAGAAACATCTCCCAGGAGTCAGCATTGGCAATAACACTGCAATGCCCAGCTTCTTAAGCGGTTCTGTCTCTGCATTGAACAAAACATTGTGGCAATTCCTCAAAATAGTAAGCATAGAATTACCATGTGATCCAGCAATTCCACTTTTGGGCACATACCCCAAAGAAGTGAAGGCGGGGTCTCAAACAGATGTTAGCACACCTGTGTTCAGAGCAGCAGCATTATTCACGATAGTGAAAAGGGGAAACAACCCAAACGTCTCTAATGGAAGAATGGGTCATCAAGATGCAGTGGGTCCATACAGTGGAGTATTCCTCAGCCTTACAACGGAAGGACATTCTGACACAGGCTGCAACATGGTTGAACTTTGAGGACATTATGGGGAGTGACATAAACCAGACCCACAGGGACAAGTACTGTATGGTTCCATGTATAGCAGTCAAATTCATAGAGACAAAAAATAGAATGAGGGTGTCCAGGGACAAGGGGAGAGGACATGGGAAATGCTGTTTAATGGGGACAGTTTCTGTTTGGGATGACGAGCACGTTCTGGAGGTGAATGATGGCGATGGCTGCGCAATGATGTGAATCTCCTTAAGGACTCTGGACTGTATATTGAAAAATGGCTAAAATGGTAAATTTATTATGTGTGTTTTGCCACCAAAAAAAAAAAAAGCACCATATTATGGTCAGATGACCAAAGTCCAGGATCTTGTGATAAATGTGTGATAAGAAGACTAGGAAAAATTTAAGTAGACATCTTGTAAAACCCAGCCCCCAAAAAAGAATGCTGGCTGGATTCCTAGAGGACACATCACAGATGTGTAAAGCTGGAAGCTTCCAGAGATAGATACCTCTTAGTTCAAGCTCCGCCATTTGCAGATGAGAGCAGTGAGGCCCAGAGTTATCAAGGGATTTGCCAGGGCCAGTGAGCAAGTTCAGGCAGGGGCAGAATTCAGAGCAAAAATATGATGTCACTGCCTGATCGTCATGCCTGGTACTGATAAGGAACCTCTATGAGCTGATAGACGGAGGTGTGCCCTGGTTTCCTTTTAAGCAGAAAGAGGAAACCAAGTTTTCCTTTATCAGCTTTGCTGCAGCAAATTCATAAGATGGGTGCTTAGAATTCGGTGTTTGGTTGCTGGCTTTGTCTAGGTTTCAAGGTGGGAGAGGGGTGATAAGTCTGAGTTCATTCATTCTCACTTATTTGAAGGCCTACATTGTGCCAAGTATCCCCTCCAGTTTCTGATTTTGCTATCTAGTAACAGCTGTCTGCCAGCTTTATTCCAGATGCTCTGCCAGCCACCCTTGCCCATATACTCCTAAGGGACATACACCCTCTCTGACTCCTGGAAAGGTCACCAGGGACCCAGCAGAGTTGAGGGGAAGTGATACAAGGGGAAGTGGAAGGGTGCCGAATGCCAGAGTTGTGATTCCAACGAGGAAGCTTCCAGAGCTAAAGAGTTCTCGTTAGGATGCGAGTCAGGGGTGCAGATGCAGACGCATGGGAGTGCCACGCATGTGACTCGCTCGTGGCCAGCCCAAGTGTGGGGTCCATCTGACTCCTTAATGCCTGCACAGAGGATCACAGTGGCACCCACAGCAGAAACCCCAAAGGGCAGACAAAAGGAGTGATTCACAGAGACGAGCAGAGGGACAGAGATGCGGAAGATAGTGCCATCTGGAAAAACCCCGATATTCACGGAATAACCCCATCCTGTGGCCTGTAAGTACAAAGCCAGGTTAGCTCTTCACAGCTATGTGCGTACATGTGAATAGAGCTTTTTAAAAAAATCTGATATATGCCACTATCTTCCTGCTTCCAGGAGACGTGAGGCATAAAAATAACTTAAAAATGAAGGCACTAAAGTAGTTTAATAAAACAAGCACCAGATTTGAAAACACTTAACAAGGGGGGGACACATCATGAAGGGCACAGTGCCCGGCATACAGGAGACACACAGAATGTTCTAGTTCTTTCTAAAATTATAAAACATGGAAGTGGTCATAGTAGTGAAGCAGAAGGAGCTCCCTCGAGGAACTCAAGGTGAGACATTTTGGCATGGAATTTGGCTTTAGGTTTCTTGGAAGCTGCAATAAAAGGAAACAGGCTGGGTTACATCATTTTTTATTCCGGCAAGATAAAATATATGGTCAACTATAGGGAAGACATTTCTTTTCCGTGGAACTAAATTCAAGGAAGAATTTATCACATGAGCCCTTGAATGTAATTCTGAAACTGTGGACAGTATCTTCAAT